CAAGCGTCGACGCCGTCGCGCGGCACAAACGGGTCGGCCTCGGCGTGGCAGAGAAGGGCCCGTGCCGTGATCGGCGGCGCAGCCACTGCCTCTGCCCCCGCCGAGCCTTCCGAGCCTCCCGTAGCGGTCAAGTCATGCGGCACGTAGCCGTCGACCACGCCGTGAAAGGAGACGACGGCGCGGAGGCCCGGCGGCGCCGGCGTGCACGCCTTAAAGGTAAGGTAAACCTCTCCGCACACACGAGGTGGTGGGGCAAGGGGGCAGCCCCTCGCAACTCCACGTCTAGACGACAGGAGCCCCACGGTATTGAAAGCGCAAGGCCCGGTGTGTCTGTGTGTGTGTGTGTGTGTGTGTGTGTGTGTGTGTGTGTGTGTGTGTGTGTGTGTGTGTGTGTGTGTGTGTGTGTGTGTGTGTGCGCGCGCGCGCCTTGAGCACATCCATGACCGCCCGGCCGCCGAAGCACCACCCTGAGTGCACCGCGCACACATGCTGAACACGCCAGCCTCGGGGGCGGGAAGGCGGTCTCGTGCAGACTAGTCAGAGCACCGCGTGAGTACGAGGGGGACTACGGCCGAGTGCAGTCGGAGATGTGTCCTCTACAGCGCTGGGTGGAGCACAAGAAGGCGTATCCTCCCTCTATCAGCTCCCACCGACGAGCGCTAGGCGCGACGCGTCGACCTGACAACGGCAATCGCCGTGAACGGCGCCTCTTCACACCGCCCGGGCGGCGCGACGCGTCGAGGCGTCCACCAGCGGCGACTCGGCCAGCTGCTGCAGCGCCTCGCGCGTGCGCCTGATCTCCGGGTGATCTCGGGGTGATCTCCGGTGATCTCGGGGTAATCTCCGGGCCATCTCGAGCCAGCTGCGGCAGCGCTCTCGCGTGCGCCTCTGCAGCAGCGGCCGCCCTTCGCCCGTGTACACCTCCCGGCGAGGCCCGCACCAGGCGGGCTCCCAGCCATCGCCGTGCGGGTCGCCCAGCAGATCGGCGATCAGGACGACGTAGCCGCGCGTTGCGAGCGCGTGCGCGCGCCAGCGAAGGTACAGGTCCTGGGTGCAAGCGTCACTCTCATGAACGTAGTAGTAGTGAACGAATGAGTTCACGAATGAGCGAGCTTCCTGCGGGCCGACGGCGGTGTGCACTAAGCACACGCCCGGCCGTGGAGATCCTTCACGCAGGCCGCCGCCGTTGCAGTAGGCGAGTGAGCCGTGCATCACGAGCCCATCGGTCGTCGTGCGGACGAACGGCACGGCGCAAAGCGTGCCGCCGAAGACTCCAATCTCGGGATCTGAGCCCCATGCCTGAGCCAGGATGTGTGCCTGGTCAGCTGACGCAGCGGTTCTCGCATCGTCGTCGAGCGCCCAGCGCACGGCTGGCTCTGCGGCTCCGCTCATGGTAAGGCGTCGTGCGGCGCGAGAGCGCACGCGGGCCACCAGAGAGGCGCAGGCAAACGTCGCACCAGTCGCGAGCAGGAGGGTGAGCGTGCGGTCTGACATACCGTCGGTACGGACAGTCGTGTTTTTCGATTCTCTCGAGGTTCTCGAGGTGGATATCCTTTGGCCGCGTTGGGTAGCGAGGATTGGTGTAACCCGAGCCACGGAGGCGTGTTTTCTGACGGCCGACCGTCAGTGCACGGAGTTGCCCCTTCTCCGACTGCCCCGGCTAGTTCCCGAGGTCGCGCGGGGCTGACCCCTGCGTCCCCCGAGACCTAGCGCGGGTGGGTTGGAGGGGGCTCGGAAAGGCGCGCAAGCACGCCCTACGTCTTCCCCTCCTCCCCATCGGGCCGCATGAGCGGCCACGCCTCGCAGATTCGTTTTCGCGCCTGGGTCAGGCGCGCGGGGCATCCCCCGGGTCGCTCGACCAGCGATCCGAAGAGTGGCCGCTATGCGAAGGAAAGAGCGGGGCCCTCGACGCCTCAGTCCGGCCCTCCGAGGGGGGAAGGGAAGTGCGGGGTCCCCTCGGGCGCCTCAGTTCGGCCCTCCCGAGGGGGGGAGGGGAGCAAGGGGGTGGGGGGGTCGGGGCGGTGGGGAGGGGTCTCGGATTTCATGTGGCTAATACTTGCCTTTAGGGGAGGGGCCTCAGCCTGGCGAGTCCAGCTCAACCTGACGTCTTCCCCCCCTCCCTCGAGGCAGCGAGTAGGCAGCGAGTGGAGCACTCGAGCGCCTATATGAAGGTATGTGAGATGGTGATGGGAATGGGAGGTCGGGCGGGCGGGCGGGGCGGGCGGGCGGGCGGGCGGGCGGGCGGGCGGGCAAGCGGGGAGAGGCGGGCGGGCGGGGCGGAGCGGGCGGGCGGGGTGATCGGAGAAATCGTAGCCACAATCAGCAGCAGCGGAGCAGCGGCAGCAGCAGCAGCAGCAGCTGCAGCAGCCAGCAGCAGCCTGCCGCAGATTGCTGCCGTTGTCAGCGCCGCGATCCGCCGCCGCGCCGCCGCGCCGCCGCCGCCTGCGCTCGCCGCCGCCTCGTAGACGACACATCTCGCGCTCGGAGAGCCGCGCAGCGGGCCGCGAGGTTGTGGTCAAAGAGCCGCAAAGTGGCGAGGTCATGAAATCATCAAATTTTGGACTTGCCCGAGACAGCCCGGAAATGGTCCCGAGCCGTAGCCCCGGCGTCGGCGCATCGCATCTCGGCCGCGAAGGGCCGGTTCCGCCGCGCAGTCGAGCGGCAGCAGCTCCAGGGCAACTTTGTCGACTAACTGGATGAGCCAAAAATCGGCGAGGAAACAGCACTGGCGGCACGCCGGGACGAATCCGGATTGGTTCTATTGTTCAGATTCACGGCGGCGAGCCGCCGCGAGCCCACAGGAGAGATGGGCGCCGCGGCACCAGACCGCGCCGCCAGCGAGGCGGGAGCAGCAGCCGACGACATGGCAGTTAGAAGCGATTTTCCTAGGTCTTTTTCGATTCGTTCACAGCTTGTTAGGTTCGAGGTTGGAGGGGGCTCGCCCCGTTCCTCCCCATCGGGCCGCGTGAGCGGCCTCGCCTCGCAGGTTCGTTTCTCGCGCCTGGGTCAGGCGCGCGGGGCATCCCCCGGGTCGCTCAGCGACGGGGGGGGGGGGAGGGGAGGGAGTCGGAGGATGATGGGGATGGTCCTCTCGGCGAGCACCACGGTGCTCGTGGATTCGACCATCCACCTGACTACCATTCCGACGACGCCTTCTGTGAGGAGGCCGGCATCTGTGAGGGCGACGGCTTCTAAGCCGTCGCCTTTGCAGTGCCAGTCCCGTACCCGGTGTCGTGCGAGGGAGTTTTGTTGTAAAATTCTTTTAGTGTGTGTGTGTGTCTTTTAGCACGTGTGTTGTGGCGCGACAGTCCTTACCTAGTGTCGTGCGTCGTGCGAGGGAGTTTAGTTGTAATGCCTTGTGTTTGTTTGTTTCATAACATCGAAGGCTACCTCATAACATCGAAGGCTGGCTAAAAAAAATAACATTCGAAGGCTAAGCTCAAAAAAAATCGGTGTGCGGCGGGTGTGCGGGATGTCTGTGGGACAGAGAGAGCGATGTGCTTGTGTCCGCCTGGCGTTTGTTTCATAACATCGAAGGCTAGCAAAAAATCGCTGCGCAAAGGACCGGTAGCGAGAGCGCCGATAGTTTTTGCCGCTTGTTCAGCTCAGCATGGAAGCCACCTGTGTCTGCTACTGATACACTTCTTCAGAAGAAATGGATATTTAATCATGCCTTCCTATTTCTCAGTGAGAGCATGATGCATGAGGTCGAGGAGATGGTGCATGCTCTTGAAAAAGTACAGCGCGAAGACGTCATTGGGCCGTTGACATCGCAGAACCCACGCCTAATGTTTGATGGCGAGGCGAGTGCTCAAAACATGAAGGTGATCGAGCCTGTTCTCGACTTGTCGCCAACGTTCCGTGGCACGGCCAGCGGCTCAAAAGTGCAATCCATCTTCCGCAGCTTGTTCGATGGTGACCGCCCCTTGCTATTCGAGGACAGAATTCAGATGAAGCTGCCGTCGTCTGGAAGCAAGCAGAGTCTGAGCATGCCAGGCGCATTCCCTTGGCATCAGGATTTCTGTTATTGGTCATCTTATTCTCGGAGCCTCATCTCGTTGTTCGTTTACCTGGACCAATCAACTGAGGAAAACGGTTGTGTGCAATTGCTTGCATACTCTCCAGAAGCGGGCTTGCTACCTCATGTAGCCTCGGGCGACGACACTTTCCCGCTCAAACTCGAAGGCGATGCTCTGGCTGATCTTTTGTCCAAACACTCACCTGTACTGACCACTGGATCTGCTGGTACAGTTGTTGTGTTCAGCGCGTTCACGCCCCATGCAAGTTTCAACAACATTTCCAGAAGGCCGCGACGAAGTTTCTTCTTGGTCTGCAATTCAGCTGCTGATGGCGACGGCTATTACAAGGCCAGCGAACAAGAACCAGTTTATCCCATCGGTAGTCATAATCTGGGGCGCGTCCCGCAGGACAAAATTGACTGTTGGAGCGCATGGAGATGTCGAGCGGTTGCACGAAAGCTGGTACTGGGGGAGCAGCTCTTACATCATCCACTTCCATTTCTTGGTGACGTTTTGACACTTGTTCATTTTCCACCTCGGGTTGTGTTTTCATTCATGTCTTTGGAGCCTCTGCGAAAGTCTGAGAGCGCGTGAGGAGACATGGCGACTCCATAACCATAAAAAGGAACTCTCCCCGCGTGCGAGGAGACAGGGGAGGCGTCGGCGAGCGAAGCCCACCTGTCCAAGCTCAAGAGACACTACCCGCAGCGATTTAGAGGGGAAAGTTGGCTCAGTTGTGGCTGTGATGAGATCATTGTTTGATTAAATAAATAAATAAATAAAAACGGACACCTCTCTACTGTGAGATGGGTAAAAAGGAACAGGTCCCCGCCCTTGCGATCTTTTTTCGCGTGCAGGGTTCTTTGTGGGTTGTGGTCGGCGACTAGCCGGGGTCGTCCTCTCGATGGGGGACACTAGCACTAGCCGTCTTCCACATGGTCCCTCGGGTCCCTGCTGCTCCTAATCTATTGTTTGATTGAAAAACAATGTCAATGATTAGTAGACCGGTACTCGGTTTGGATGGTAGCGGGGGGCCCCGCCGGAGGCTGGTTACTGATTTTTAGGCTCCGGCCATTCGAGATCTGGCAACGCTGCACCTAGGATCGCTACGATTGGCCCCCGACGCTACAGTCACCGCTGCACCTTTTCTCGGTCTCGCCCCTCCGGCCTCTGCTACTCCTCCCCTTCCTCGTCGCCGTCAGCCGCAGCCGCCGAAGACACCGACGGCGGCGGCAGCTCGCTCAGCCGGAACGAGGCGGACGGCGCGAGACGCCCTCCCTCGCCCAACGCAAAGCAGAGGAGCTCAAACTCGCACAGCGCGAACAGCCGCCCCTGCACCGGCGACTGCAGCGCGAGCGGCGGGCTGCGCAGCTCGAGGGCCTATCAGTATCAATCGACAGCGACACATCATTCATTAAACGAATCGCGGCGGGCTGGACAGCCCGAGCGCCAGCCCGGGCCGCGGCCGGAGCTCCGCCTCCGCCGCCTAGTCTCGAGCGAAGTGATCTCGACCGATCTCGACCGATCTCGACCGATCTCGCGCCAGCTCGCGCCTCTGCCCCCTCGAGCGCGTGCAGCGTCCTCTCGCTGTCGAAGCCGAGGTAGAGCAGCCGCGAGGCGGCCTGAGGGGCCGTTGACTGACTAATGAATGGACCGCCCTCCGACGCCAGCGAGGGAGCAGCTGCGAGGAGCGCCAGCTCACACGCGCAGCGCAGCACCGCCCCTTCGCCGCACGCGCTGCCCTCCGCCGCCTCCGAGCCCGCGGACGCGGACGCGGCGACGGGTGAAGGAGCGGGTGGGGGAGCGGGTGGGGGAGCGTCGCCGGCGTCGGGGCCGAGCGGCGCAGCGTGGCGGAGCAGGCGAAGGAGCTCCGCGGCAGACCGCTTCCTGTTCAAGCGTTATGATTCTCCACTCACGGGGACGGATGGGGAGTGAGCAGCCCCGCGCAGGGCCGCTTCCAGAGCCGCTCGGCGCCGTCGCACCGCCACAAGCAGACCTGCGGTTACGACAGGAGGTGAGGACGAGATCAGCACTCCTCACGGCCCCTTCTCGCCGCCACAAGCAGACCTCCGCGCCGCTGCCCGCCGCGGTGAGCAGCAGCGGCAGCGCGGCGAGCGGCAGCACGACCTCGACGGGCGAGGTGTGCGTGAGGTAGTAGCGCTCGATGATGTCGGCGCTCGGCCACCTGCCAGCGACGAGTGTGAGCGGTTGTGGGTGATGCACCATCCCATATTAACTGGGACGTCTCGAATGAAGTCGGGCGCGCGGCCACCGGCTAGCGCGCACGTGCCCCTCCCGGTCCGCCGTCACCAGCTCGCCTGTCTCATTGACTAATTAATTCATCAATTACTCATTAATTCACCGGTCCGCCGTCACCAGCTCGCCTGTCTCAATGACTAATTAATTCATCAATTACTCATTAATTCACCGGTCCGCCGTCACCAGCTCGCCTGTCTCACTGACTCGGCTGGCTCACGGACGGGTGAACTGGCTCTTCTCGGCCCGCACGGAGCAGCTCGCCGCCGCCGGGCGTGAAGGCGAGGTGCGAGACGGGGGAGAGGTGGCCGAGCTTGAGCAGCGGCGCCTGTGCACGTGCCGTGGCTGTGAAGAGACGCCCTTCAGCAGCGAGAGCCGGCCGAGCGAGCAGCGGCGCCGCAGACGGACAGCGCACGTCAAAGGCAAACACTTCTCCAAACTTGTCGGCCCAGAGGCCGAGGAGCGAGGTCTCGCCGCCCGCCGGGAGAGGCGCGAAGGCGACGCACCCAATCTTCTTGTGGTGCGTCCACGTGCCGATCGGCGCGGCCGCGGCGTCGGCAGTGACGTCCCAGGCTCGCACCGCCTTGTCGTCGCCGCCGGAGAGGAGCACGCCGCCGCACCGGCTGAAGCACACGCTGCGCACCACGCCGGTCGGGGTGAGCGCGCGCGGCGCCAGCGGCTCCTCGGCGGCAAAGAGCTGGAGCGAGTCCAGGTGAGCGACGCACACGAGCCCGCCCTGCGGGTCGACCGCCGCGACGACGGCGTCGCACTGCGCGGTGCGCCGCACCTTGGCGGCCGGAGCCTCGTGCGTCCGCACGAGCACCGAGCTGCCCACGCGGGAGGAGGCGGGGTGGACCATTTCTTGGGGCGTTCGTCGCTTGCGGCAACACGCTGCCGGCCGCTGCCACGCGCCCGCGAGACGGTTCTGGGCGTGGAGGGCGGGGACAGGCGCGGGAGGGTGGTACGGTGGAATCCGCGGACGGGGACCGGGACGGTTGATTGCTAGAGGCCGAGCAAGCCTGCTCTAGCCTCACGCGTTCGCCCCTGTTGTCTGTTGTTTGTTGTGCCCTTGTTTGTTTCTCTTGGCACCTGGGAGTGCTGGGGGGGGCGATAGGGAGAATGTGGCCCTGAGTTATGTGTACGCCAACTCAGGGTGTGTGGCAGCCAGCTGGTTGTGTGTCTTGTGAGCCTGTTTGTGTCTTTGTGTCGCTCGTGCGTGTCGTCATCATCTGTCTCGCGTCCACCCATACCGCGTTGGTGTCCAGTCCGAGCCTGACTGTTGTTCATCTTTCTACATACATACATACGGTTGAGGCCGTAGGCAAGCCTGCTCTAGCCTCGCACGTCACTTGTGTTGATTAAATGAACTCGGGGGCACGGGACGCGGCACAAACGGGGCACAAACGCCAGGCTACAAAGCACGTCACTTCCTGTCGTCTGTCTGTTGTTGTTGTGCCCTTGTTTGTTCCCTTGGCACCTTCGCTGTCGAAAGCCCTCCGGTCCCTCGATTCCCTCGCCTCGCTGTCCCCTCTACTGCTTCGTCCCAATTTATATCCTCATCCTCTGTGCGCGTTGTTGCTCCCTTCCCTTCTCCATCGTTGTTGCCTCCGTCGACTGCGGCGCTGCCTCTTCCCTCGCCTCCGTCCTCCTCGTATCGCCTGCCATCGTCCCGTGTCTCCTCGTCCTCGCTATCGTCTAGGCCGTTGTCTACTTGTTCATCGTGTCCCCTGCTGCTGGTGGCAACGCCGTTGGCCTCCTCTCTCCCCCTTTCCTCGCTGCCCCCCTCGCTGTCTTGTGTTGATGGACCCCCTCCCTCTCGCCCTCGCCACCGTCACCGTCACCATCCCCATCGCTACCGCCCTCCAGATCCCCGCCATCCTTTGTTTCACACTCGTCTCTGCCATGTCCGCCGTCGCCGCCGTCCTTTCTGCTGCGCTCTGTGCTCCTTGGTACAGTCGCTTGTTGTCGGTCCCGTGCCCGCCGAGTGGCTAGATGCTACGACTGACTCGAGACGACTGAGGTGTGTGTCGTCGACTCGTGCGTCGTGGTTTCGTATCAAGAATACTCACTCACTCACTCACATGCGCATCATCTGTCTCCTTGCCCTCGTTTAATGCGCGCATCTTCGTATCCTTTGATACAGAAAAGATAGCAGGGACATATCGACAAGCACCAAACGTGACCCCCACGACCACAGGGTCTGTGTCGCTGTCTGTCGGCACGCTGTCAACAGGACGTCGAGAGGGCGAGAGGCTTGACGTGATCCGACCCTGCGACCCTGGAGCCGAGCGGCGGGCGCGAGGAGAGTCTTAAAAGAGAGTCAGGCGGGGCCGATTCTCGCCGCCAGAGGCCCGAGCGGCGGCACGACCGCCGCGATCCACTTCCAGCCCCTCCACGGCGCCGACGCCGCCGGGGCGCCCGCCGCGTCCGCCGTGCCGCCCTCGCCCGCCGGGGCGGGATGATGTGGCGCCGCCTCCTGCTGCAGCTCGGCCTGTGTTCACAGCTGGAGGTGTGAAGAGAGCCCGTTCACAGCTCAGGACCTCTCCCCTCCTGCTGCAGCTCGGCCAGGCGCTCGAGTGCGGCGCTCGCCCCCTCGTGGCCGGCGACGTTGGCGAGCGCGCGCTGGTACGCGTCCGCCGCGTGCGGGAGGCAGGAGCCTACACCATTGGCCAATCAATAGCCTCGAACCGACTCCTTCATTAGTTGCAGGTCCCGCCGCGTGCGGGAGGCAGGAGGGAGCCTCCGCTGCAGCGGCTCGCGGGCAGCCGCTCGAGGAGCTGCCCCGCCATCAGGTGCAGGTCGGACAGCACCTGCCGTCGGGCAGGCAGAGAACTCATCGCAGAGAGTGAATCGTCGAAGTGAATTGGTTCCTAGATCTATGTGTGCTGAGACTCAGCTACAGGCCGGCAGCGCCTGCCCTGGGTCTGCGGGCGCGGGAGCGTCGTCCGCACGGATCACCAGGATGTCGATCGCGCGCTGGCACGCCTGCGTGGGACAGACGAGCGGCTCGTGCTGTGTGTCTTAGTGTGTGTGTGTGTGTGTGTGTGTGTGTGTGTGTGTGTGTGTGTGTGTGTGTGTCGCTCCAGTGGGACCCGTCCCTCCGTCTCGCGGTGCGCCCACCCCACACCGCCCAACGGCCAGGTCATCGACTACAGGCTGTTCTTCCCCTCTGGTCGCGGGCGGTCCTTCGCCTCTCCCTCTATCTAGAGACGAGTCGACGAGAGGAGAGGGGCGAGCTGGGCGGTGTCTCAGAGTCTCTTCTCTGCAGCATGGGCTGCGTCTGCTACGCTAAGAGTCGCCTCGAGCGCCGCCATGACGTCGCCGAGCCCCGCTTGAACCGCCGCAAGGTTGGCATGCGCCGGCCACAGGTTTGGGTTCCCGCGTATAGCGGCGTCAAAGTGGTCGATCGCCGCGAGGACCTCGCCTCGATTCTCGAGCACCGCACGCCCGGCCGCGTACTCGCTGTTCGGCGAGAGCCCGCTCCACAGGAGCCCGCCCGGGAGACGCCCGAGCAGAGCCGCGCCGCTGTACGCAGCAAATTGCCGCGCGCGAGTCAGCTGCGCCACGGCCGTCGCTGGCTCGCCTTGCTCGAGCGCCAGCAGGCCGCTGCGCTCGAGGCGGGAGCCGCACAGCGAGAGAGCGGCCGGGAGAGACACGGCGACTAGCAGCGATGCGACAACATGGCGACGGAGAGCGGACGCAGGCGGCGAGGCTCTCCTCTTGGACTGCTTGTTGCTGCGCGGCTTGTTGGCCATCGTGGCGCCCGGGCGCGGTAATCGTGTGTATGGCCGCGACGGAGTAGTAGAAGAAGCGGAAGATGGCGAGGAGGGACGGAAAGCGTCTCCGCAGGAAGGCGAATCCCGCCCAGCGGCTCGTCCACTGGTACATGGCGGAGATGTCGTCGGAGACGATGCCGTGGCGTGGCGCGTGCTCGGTCCAGCCTCGGACGAGGCGGGCAAGTTTCTCCGTTCCCTTGGAGGAGAAGCACCAGTTGGTGACAAACTTGAGCGGGCGGGAGGCGGCGGCGAGGGCGTCCCTGGCAGCAGCGAGGGCGGCGGCGGTGCGGCTGGCGCGCGCGCGCAGGCCTGCGGCGGACGGATCGTTGCCGGAGACGGCGGTGGCAGCCTCGTGCTGCAGCTCGGCGGCGAGGACGTCCGCCTCGGCGGTGTCAATGCGGCGCTGATGGTCCTGCACGTCCTCGGGGGCGGGCTCGGTGAAGTTGCGTTCGAACCCTTTGCGGCAAGCGCGATTGATTATTGCCCAGAGGAGACAGCGCCACTTCTCGCACATGCCGAGGGGCCGACGGCCTTTGATCTCGCCGGTCAAAGGGCAGACTTTGGCGGCGAGGGCGGCGCGGATGCCGCCGGCGAGGAGGTCGCGGGCAGTCGCCCCACCCTGGTCTGCTGCGACGGCGTTGGCCCATTTAGTGACGGCCTTGAGGCCTCTCGGCTGCCGGATAATCGCTTTGATGATGCGGTTGTCCTGCGGCAACGTGCCCGGCGCCCGCAGGTCGCGCAGCTGTGCGGCGGCCTTCTGGACGAGCTTGGCTGTAAACTGGATCGGGGCGTGCCCAGGCTCGTCGGCAACATGCTCAGGAGTGAGCTCCCGATGGGGGGTCTGAGGGTTGAAGCCGATGAGGGCGCGTTTGGAGTCCGGCAGTCGGGGGTCGAGGGCGGGGGAGGGGGTGGACTGCTTGAAGGCTGCCGACCAATCGCCATGCGAGGCCAAGAAGGCCTGTTTACGGATGGTCGTCGCGTCGCAAGGCATCCCCGATACGGTCGGCTCGGACAGCCTGTCGTAGTCCACTTGGAGCTCGTCCTCAAGTTCGCACAGGTCGCCGTCGGGGTTGGAGCGGCTCGCAGTGCGGCGCGCCTCGTCCGCGAAGGCGCGCCAGAGCTGCACGGCGGTGCCATCGTTGATGGCGCTCACCCACGCGGCTGCGCGATGGCGCAGTTGGTCCGCGGGGCGAGGCTCGACCTCGCCGTGCGAGCGGAAGAAGACATAGGCGTTGTAGAGGTCGGCGCACAGGAAAGCGAGGCCGTTCGTCTCGCCGTTCACGTCTTCGGCAAAGTGCTCGTGCGCAGCGACGACTGGCGCAAAGAGTTCCGCCTGGAAGCCAGAGTGGAGTGGGATCTCCTGTGCGCGGAGGCAGCCGCCAAGACTCCGCACGTCGGCGTCGATGTCAATGCCGCGGAGGCAGAGTAGGTTGTCGCCCGTGGTGATGGCAGGGATGGCGACGAGGCGGTGCGTGTCATTGGGGCGGGGGGGCGGCGCGCTGGGGGCGGCGGAGGGGGCCGGCGAGTGCGCCGGCGCGGCTCCTTGGGGGCTGCCAGAGGGGGCGGGGGCGGGGGCGGGGGCGGGGGCGAGGCAGGGGAGGCAGGAGCCGAGGGTGCCCGGCTTGGCGCGAGCGGCGACCGCAGACCGCGCTCGTTTCTCCGCCTCCTTCCACGTCTTGGCCGCGATCTGCAATTCTTTGTGAGCAGTCCTGCGCGTGTTGTCGCCGCTCGTGCAATGGTTCAGCCAGCCTGAGTTCCCATTCTGGGTTGGTCGCGGGAGCACGCAGAACACCCCTCTGCAGATGTCGCATCGGTGGAAAGCGTGGTCGGCTAGCACATCGTCGGTGTCGGCGGAGGATGGGTGAGCGGCGGCGCAGTGCTCGGCGAGGTGTCGCCGATCCGGGAAGGGGTCGTGGTTGCAGCCGTCAATGGGGCACTTGATGCCTCCGACTGGTGCGTTGTAGCCGTTGTACTTCGCCGCAAGGTCTTGGACCCTGTTGGTCGCTACGACGGCGTTGACGACGGTGATGGCGGAGGGCGAGATGAGGGGGGCGGCGGGGTTGGCGACGGCGGTGATGACGGGGGGCGAGACGAGGGGGGCGGCGATGCTGGCGGCCGCGGGGGCGGCGCTCGCAGGTTGCTGCTGTTGTTGCTGCTGTTGCTGCTGCTGCTGGGCCTGCTGCTGCTGTGCTACAGGCGCCGCTGCTGGTGCCGCCTGCGCCACTGGTGTTGCGAGCGTCGTCGCCTCTTGCGGCTGGGCGGTGGCGGCAGGGGTGCTGGCGTGCGGGGCAAGCCTGCCTGCCGTGTCTGTGGCTGGCTCGTCCGACGGGGGGCACGTGCCGTGGGCGCATGGCGCGGCGCGCGGGGACGCATTGGCGTCGGGCGGGGTTGCGCGTGCAAGCGCCTCGTGAGCGCGCGCCGGTGGGGCGCGCTCGGCGGCCCCTCCGGCGGTGGCCGGCGGGGACTTTTGTGGTCGGAGCTTACGCATAGCCTTCTTACAACTAGCGATGGGGCCAGTGGGCAATCGTGCGGGTAGAGAATTTTCTTTTTCTCGCGATGTCCACCCCTCCGCGCCGCCGCTCGCGCCGCCTCGCCACCGCCGCCGCCGCCACCGCGGCTTCGCCAAGCACGCCGCCGCCCACCCGCCTCCTCGACCTCCCCAGGGAGCTCCTCGTGCGCGCCCTCTCTCGCTGCGACCCCCCCGACGTCGCTCGCGCGGCGGCCGTCTCGCTTCTCTTCCACGCCTCACTCGCGGTGGAGGGCATCCGCTTGTGGGCGCAAGAGCGCGGCTTTGAGCTGCCGGCGCAGCCAGAGAGCGAGGGCTGCGCCGTGCGGTGGCTGTGCTATTCGGCGCTGCTGTGCGCGGCCAACCCGCCGGCGAGGCTGGCGGCAGGCTGGCGGCACAGCGTCTTCATTGACGGCGAGGGGCGGCTCTCGTCGTGCGGCTCGGCGGATTTGGACCAAGAGGGGCTCATCGGGCACGGTGAGGGCGTGAGGCGGCTCAACACGCCGACGCGCCTCCCTTCTCCTCTTCTGGGAGGCGAGCGCGCCGTGAGCGTGTCGGCAAGCGCACTCCACAGCCTGGCCATCACCGCCGACGGCGCTGCCTGGAGCTGGGGCTGGGGAACCTATGGCCAGCTGGGCCACGGTGACGAGGAGAACAAGTCGCAGCTAAAGAAGATCGAGGCCTTGGCTGGGCAGCGCGTCGTCGCTGTGACGGCAGGTGACCAGCACAGCCTCGCCATCACCGCCGACGGAGCTGTCTGGAGCTGGGGCGATGGAGGCGACGGCCAGTTGGGCCACGGCGACAAGCAAAACCAGCTGCTGCCAAAGAAGGTCGAGGCATTCGCGGGGCAGCGTGTCGTCGCTGTCTCGGCGGGAGGCTTCCACAGCCTCGCCATCACCGCCGACAGCGCCGTCTGGAGCTGGGGGGGTGGAGGCGGGGGCCGGTTGGGCCACGGCAACGAGCAGGACCAGCTGCTGCCGAAGAAGGTCGAGGCGTTGGCGGGAAGGCGCGTCGTCGCCGTGTCGGCTGGAGGCTACCACACCCTCGCCCTCACCGCCGACGGCGCCGTCTGGAGTTGGGGCGATGGAGGCTTTGGCCCGCTGGGCCACGGCAACGAGCAGACCCAGCTGCTGCCAAAGAAGGTCGAGGCCTTGGCTGGCCGGCGCGTCGTCGCTGTCTCGGCGGGGTGTCTGCACAACCTCGCCATCACCACCGACGGCGCTGTATGGAGCTGGGGTTATGGTCGCTTTGGCCAGCTGGGCCACGGCGACGAGCAGCGCCAGCTGCTGCCCAAGAAGATTGAGGCCTTGGCTGGTCAGCGCGTCGTCGCTCTGTCTGCTGGAGATGGCCACAGCCTCGCCATCACCGGCGATGGCGCTGCCTGGAGCTGGGGCAGTGGAGGCGATGGCCAGCTAGGCCACCGCGACCGGGAGCGCCAGCTCGAGCCCAAGAAGATCGAGGTGTGGGCGAGCCGGCCGCCCACGCCTGCTTCCTCTGACGGAGAGGACAGCAGCGACGGAGAAGACAGCGATTCGGACGAGTAGGAAGCAAGGTGATTTGGACGAGTAGGAAGCAAGGCGGGCAGCGGGGGAGGGCGAGTAGTGATTGATAGTACTCTCCAAGAGTATAATACACGCGGACCACGGTCTGAATTTGCCAATACTTTACAAATCCTCTCTAGCTAGCGCGTAGCGCAACCATTGATTCAGCCGCTTAGCACATTTTCACTCCCAGGGTGAACACATCTAGAGCACGTCTGGCGGCCCTCTCTATAGCCTAGTACACAAGCACGCACCATAAAGCACGCGGCTGTAGACGCCGAGCAGTTGTACAGATCACTCTATGTCGCGCGGCCGCACGCACTGCTCGCGGCGCGCGCCGACCCGCGCACACACAACAGCGCCATTGCAATACTAGCAGCTCTTAGCGCTCGCTCGCCGGAGGGCCGGCCGAGAGGCTGCGGCGAGCACGACGGGCAGCGCCAGCGCCCCGAGCGCCGCACAGAGCGCCGCCGGAGAGATCGGGAGATATCGGGAGAGAACGGGAGATGGGGCTGGAGGTGCGCGCGGTGACGCCTCGTCGGCCTCGCGCGGCGTCGCGGCCGCGAGGGGGCGCTGCTGCGGCCTCCGAAGCGCCGCCTCCCCCGGCAGCACAGCCGCCGGCAGCAGGCCGTGCAGCAGGACGCCGCAGCCGGTGATGAGCAGCGCGGAGATCGCGAGCGACTCGAGGCTCCCCACGGCGGGCACCTCCTCACACACGTCGAGGTGTGAAGAGACGCTGTTCACAGCGAGCGACTCGCGGCTCCCCACGGCGGGCACCTCCTCGGCGTAGGAGCGCCAGCTCTCGCCGAAGGCTTCCGCCAGCCGGCGCTCCTCCGGCCCGCCAACCTGTATTATGACAAGAAGAAGCTCATCATCATCATTATCATTGTCTCAGCGCTCCTCCGGCCCGCCAGCCTGTGGTGATAATGAGGAGGAGGATGAGAACCATAGTCACCATCAGCGCTCCTCCGGCCCGCCGACCTGCCGGCTTAGGTGAAGCGCGAGCCATATCTCCCATATCTCCCCATATCTCCCCATATCTCCCCATACCTGCCGGCCGAGGTGGAGCGCGAGCCAGACCGTGCCGACCGCGCTGACCACGCTCGGCAGCAGCGCCGAGAGGGAGAGAGCGAGGCCGACACTCGACACGCAGATGGGGTTCCGGCTCCAGGCAAAGGAGGCGTGCGTGCAGAGCGAGTGCGGGGCGGTGGCGAGGCAGGCCCGCAGCGTGAGGACGGCGGAGACAGAGAGGGCCGAAGAGAGGAAGAGCAGGCCCAGCGCGCCTACCCGGTTGGGCGCGGGGTGGGCCGAGAGGAGGAGCAGGCCGAACGCGCCCGTCTGGACGAGCTCTGACGGTCGGGAGATCTGGGGAGATCTGGGGAGGTATGGGAGACATGGGGAGATATGGGGAGATATGGGGAGGTATGGGGAGATATGGGGAGATCTGGGGAGATCTGGGGAGATATGTGGAGATCTGGGAGATATGGGGAGATATGGGGAGGTATGGGAGATATGGGGAGATATGGGGAGATATGGGGAGACATGGGGAGACATGGGGAGATATGGGGAGATATGGGGAGATGTGGGAG